ACATTGGGTCTTGTTGACTTGCAAAGACCAACAAAGATTCTGCCTGCTGTGTTCAAACTGCTTCAGGGATGGAAGTCCAAGTGGCGCTATGACTTCTGTAGAGCATGTCTGAGTATCCTCTGTTTCCTAGGGACGAGAACACTGCTTAAAGATGCTGGAAGAAGCTTTGAGCACCAATCAAAATGTTCCAGCAGCAGGAGGAAAAGGGTATGAGATTAGATGAGAGAAAAGGGGTAGCATATGGAATCCCTTAACACAGGGCCTGCTCTTCCTTGAGCAACATTACCACCCTCAGGGAATGCCTTTTTAAGGTATTTGCCCCAAGGATGTAGTTTCACTTAACAGCATCCTTCCTGTCGTGATGTTCAGGATCAGGTATGAAGACACCTGTGTCTGATTCTGCTAAATCAGCTTGATCCTAAGAGTCGTAGTTCTTCCCTGTCCCACGAGATGGGGATACTGTACTTCTCAAACTGAGAGACTGGACAAGAGGACTTGGATTTAAAACTGCTTTCACCACCCTTTCCATTCTCCAGCAATTCACCACTGCATCCCTTAGGACTTAATTGGAAGTTATCACTTATCCTTGCACCGGAAGGAGTGAATTTTGTTTCTTCTGGGATGTGCTTAAGCATTAGTGTTCCCTTTGCAGACGTAGAAGTGTGTCTTGCCAGAAATCACCCCAGCCTGTGTTACAGGTTAGACCCTCATACCTGTGCTGTGGACCTGGAGTACGAAGCCTTCCGAACCAGTAAAATGGCAAACTCGTACAAGGCAACTGTGCTAAAGAAGGTAGGGCCGTATGTCTGCTGGTGTTCCCCTGAACGTGATGTGGCCTCAGCTTGAGAGGAAATAGGGCAGAGTTTGTGTGGCGAAGATGAAGGAGATGCTCTGCTTTGCCTTTGGCGTCTTCCAAATCTTTCTTCTTGACTTTGTTTCCGGGAGGGCCCGGAATCACATTGGTTTTACATCTTTGTTGGTTTAAAAGGCTTTGGAAACCTACATACCAATGCAAGCTTATCCACATATCCCCTAGGTCTAGCAATAAAGGGAGTGGGGAGTTCCTCAGACTGTCACTGATGGAAAAGCCTTGGTTTAGGTTAGCTGGTTGCCGTAAGTCTCTTTGAAGATGTTTCTGTTCTTGAGATAAGTGTCTCTCCAGGGGAGACATTTGTTTTGCCACTATGTCTTTTAGTATGTACAGAGGCAGGAACGCATAGGTTGCCGGCCACTAGAGAATATTTCTGTTTTCTTTTCAGGTAGCAGAAATCAGCAAAGCCTCAAAACAAGGAGAGTTGTTCTCAGTCTTTGGGTCCAGAACTGGTGGCAACAGCAGCTTGGAAACAAAATCTGGGTCTCCAGCAGAAGAGGACTTCCTCCCTGCATCCCAGGTTTACTCGGTGAGTGAGTACAGATGGGATAGACAAGGAGGAAATGGTGTGCTGTGTCTATCTGCTTTTTCATTATTGTATTTTAAGCCCTTTGTGTGCCCATAGCTGTATATTTCAATTGCAGTTGCTTTCCCTGTCTGTCCTTTGTTTTTGGAGTGAGATTAACTAGTCATGCTAGTTCCTATTAGTGAATATAATCTATGTGCAGGCCATACCTCAGATAAGTTTTGCTTGTCTTGCTCTAACCAAGGATGCTGCCTGTTTCCTTACTGCAGGCCTGTGACTTTAACCTCGTCCATTTCCCTGATGTCTCAGTTGATGGTTGTGATGATGAGTCAGTTTTAGAGCCTTCCCCGCCTTATGGCTGTACACACTGGTGTGCTGTGTACAGAAAGTTAGCTGCTGTTCTGCACACAGGGCTTCCTTAATGCTCTCATAATCAAAATTTCTTCTTCTGCCTTTCTACCTAGTTCAAACCCAAGCGTGTGGGAGCAGGATTTCCAAAGAAACCTGGCTTGTTCCAGACAGCTTCAGAACTGCTGAAGATCCAGGAGGAGAGTGATACAAAGCCTGTCAAAAAAGAAGTAGATTGTCCAAGTGGGCAAGGCAACAACAATTGCAGTCTGGAACTGGACACCAGAAGCCCTGTTCTCCAGAACAAAGAAATAACAACCAAAGCAATATGTGAGAGTGCTGGGGTAGAAGTACTCCTTCCTGAAAAGAAGAGACAGCAACCCAGTCCAGACACAAAAGCTGTCCTTGGGGATAGTCCTACTAAGAAGACCAAACCTAGCAAGAAGCAGCAAATGCTCGCAGAAGCGGCTAAAAAAGAATCGCAGGATATTTCCAAATTCTTATCCCTCCCCAAAGGTGGGTCTAAAGCCAAAAGTCGCAGCTCAGCAAAGAATGATGGCTGTTCTGCAAGCACACTACCTCAGGTTTCTTCTCAAAGCATATGTGAAGAGAAACCAACACCTCAGGAAAACAAAGGTGTCTCTGGAGAAGATGTGACTGGACAGTCCCAGGCGGAGAGTGAAGAGCTGGGAGAGACAGAAGTAGCAGTGACTGAGGAAGAAATTGGAGTAAAATCCAGGTAAAAACTCTACGTCTCTTGCTCCCTATGTTGCCCTGTTAATGAGCTATAAAGCCCCACCAGCCTTGTCCTGGAAACTGGGAATCTGTGTTAGATCTCTAAGCTGGTGAGGGAACTTGCTTTACCATGGAGAGTCTTGTGGCCACTGATGGTGAATATAGTAATATCTTCACAGTGGAATGATTAAAATTGGCTTTCTCTCCATTCTTCCCAGTAGTGTTGCTGAACACGTCACAGAAACTGAGCTAACTGTTGTTGGGGAAGGTGAGTGCGGGAAGCGACCAGGATCAGACGAGGTAAGACTTTAACAGGTGCTAATTTCCTCTATTTCTTCTGCTCATCTTGCGCCAAGTTTCTCTTGGAATGACACTCGTGGTCTGAACTTCACCTGACGGTGTTATTTGTCTGGGGAAGGCCCAGCTGCAATCGCAGCAGAGAGGAGAACCATGGCTGCGTTGCACTCCTGGTGTCCCCCTGCCACACACCCCCTGGGTCAGTGCCAGCAGCTCAGACTGCAGTGGAAAGCTTCCCCTCTGCTCTGCTTTGTTTGCTCTTCTCTGCATCACATGTGACTGTACCGTTGCTGATGACTTGCCTGGAATGAGCTTTTCCACCCCCTCTAGATCTGTACCTAACTATAATTAGCAAGTGGCTTTCCCAAGTTGAAGGAACAACCGCAGGCCAGTGATGCACAGGACCACTGGGAAGCGAATCACGCTCACAGCCTTCCTTGCCATTCAGCCTCTGGCTCTGCATTTGGCATCGGTAGCTGTCTTTACTGAACAGTGCAGTTTTTGCCTTGCTCTTTCAAATTGAGCAGGAGTGTGGCACTCCTGAAGTGGCTGATTCTTCCTGGGAGGTGTATTCTCAGCAGACATGCTGGGAAATCTTTTTCTGTCACTTTTTCCTGTATAGAACGGGGTCTAGAATTAGCTGCCCTAATAAGAGCATAGAATATTTCTAAATGTGGTAGTCTTAAAGGGTTTTTTCTCATAGTCCTTTTGTGTGGGAAACAGTGTATTATGTCTGCACAGCAAAATGCGTTACATGGATTCCTGCGTGGTACTCGCTATAGGGAGAGCCTGCAGGGTGCTGCAAAGATTCATGTTCTCAGAAGGTGTTGGCTGCTCGGAAGTGTAATGGTGCCACAGGAATTGGTGGTTTTGGTTTTCTTCTCTCCTGTCTCTCCAGGATGTGCAAAGTCCTGCAACCAAGCGGCTACGGACAGTGTCAAAATCTTCTATTCTGTCCCAGCCAGAAGGCAGAAGTGTTGGTCTGACAAAGAAGAAGGTGACTTTTGATCCAAACTTATCACAGTGTGATAAAGAAGGAACCACCAAGACGGTACAGCCAGTGACCAAAGGCGCATCCCTCAAAGAGACAGCAGACATCGTTGTCAAATGTTTGACCCCGTTCTACAAGGGTGGCAAATTTGCTTCCAAGGTAGGGCAGAGCTCAAGATCCTCTCTAGACTGCATCTCCCTAGTGATCTGGGGCTATAGGAGGGGGAAGATGATCTGGATAGCACAGTTCATTTCCCAGTCACATCTTGGAATGTGCTGTTTTAGTGACTCTTAAGTGCAGCAACTCACCTCTCCCAAGAAAGGGTTTGTGCATAGTTTAGAGTAGTATTGTGTTGGTTCCACACTTGTTTGTGATTGTTCATGTTTGCACACTAAACTCCAGGAAGTTTTTAAGAACTCCCACCTGTGGAGCAGCAAGGGATCGGGTTCAGTTCTGCTGTAGTTTGCTTGGCGTGTTCTGCAAGGCAGCGTGTGTGTGTGTGTGTACTTCTCCAACACTGCAGGGTCAGGTGTATTTGCACATATGCAACACTCCTGTAGTCTAAATCTACGAGTGGTTTGTGTTACAGCCAGCCTGTGCTACGGGCAAGATGAACGTGGAAACAGTCTGGTGAGGTAACAGATGTCTGCTTTCTGCTCTCTATCTTCTCCAATTCTGTAGGATCTGTTTAAGGGCTTTGCTCGGCACCTGTCCCACTTACTGACTGAGGAGCAGACCCCTGCCTGCAAGACTGGTGAGTTGGCAGCTGGGGAAGTCACCAAGAATTTTGGGTTCTTTTGATGCTAAATGGATTGATGTGTTTAGAGGGGGTAGATGTCTTAAGTATTGTCTCAAAGGTGGTGCTTCCTCTCTTGCAGTGAAGGAAGAAGCACAGAGACTCATCAAGGAGTTTTTCAAAACAAGGCTCAGGTGTGAGAGCGAGACAGACTGGCAGGACCTGCAGAGCTCAGAGAGCTGATCCTCACGTCATGCTGGCTGTCTTCCTTCCTCCAGCAGTGGGACCAGGGGATCTGGAAGAACTCAGCCGTGGAGGGTTTCATGAAACTGCAGAAGTGAGCTTAATCTTTTTCCACTGCATTTTTGCTCACTTCTGTCCTTAGTGACGCGTGCTTCCAGGGACCAATTTCTGCGAACTTGTGGAGAGTTTCTGCAATAACCAGGGTGCTGGAGCCCTCTAGTATCTCTTGCCAAGAGGTGTGAAGTCTGCATCTGCTATGTAGGTTGGGGACTGCTGCCTCAGATGTTCTGCAGCATCTCCAACCTCTGCTCCCTGCAGCAGACTGGGAAGGGCTTAGACTTTCCAGCTGGGACCCTGCTTTGGGATGGCATCTTGCTTCCTAGGTGGCTCCTCCCCTCGCTCCCCCATCTCTCAGTTCTTATTTCAGTGTTACCAATAGAAGCCTTCACGTGCTTTGCTCAGGGCTGCCAGTGATGAAAATGATGCTTGAGTTCCTGGATGGAATGTTTTCCCCTGAAGGGCAGGAGGGGAGCATTTTGGTTTTACCATGCAGGCAATGCCTACTTTCTGAAGGTGGAGAAGCTCAGATTCTTTTTCTTTTAATCTGAACTTTTTTTTAAAACTTTGTCTAGTTCTGCCTGCCCTTTAACTTAAGCGGTGATGCTCTTTCAGTATTAACCTCTCCAATAGTGGCACCAAGGTTGCCAACACTTTGCCAGCATTTGCTTGTAACCCCTAAAGCCATATTTTCTCCCTGTGCCTCACCCAGTCTGCAATACAGAGGGCAATGCTGCTGTTACAACTAGTTAAGGTACTGCTGTGGCCCTCAGATTGACACTGTGCTGCCTCTGCTGCTATATTTATATAAGGACCTAAACCTTTGGGTATCAGTGGGCTTGCAATAACCTGATTCCCTGGCACAAGTCCTTTCTGTTGGGTTTTTTGTTGTGTTCTGCCTTTATTCCATGCCTGTAGAGGCTGGTGGCCTCAGGCCCTAGCGCTGCTAGAGGCATCTGCAGCCTGAGGGGCCATTAAACAGGCTTTTGGATCACTGTACTGAGCAGATGTATTTTTCTAAAATGCACTGAAGGGTATGTGTGGAACTGACAATTAAACAATGTTATAGCAGCTGTGGACTCTTCCTGAAAGCTTTTTCTTTCCAATACAGACTGGTCTAAGGTACATTAAGACTCCATCACTCTGCACATAGACATGAAAGCTCATTTCTTATCTTAACAGACAGCTAATAAATGCAAGGCATTTATAAATGAGATGGATGGGCAGCATGTGCCAGCAGACTCGTCCTACTCCTTATAGCTGCAGGACTTCTCCAGGTAGAACCAGAAGGAGAACCTGGAAATGTTAGCTCGAAAGTCACTTTCATCTTCAGCTTGCTCTGCTCACTGGAGGACAAAGAGCTTTACCAGAAGCTTTTTACACAATAGAAGTATTTTTCAGCTGTTGCCTGCTGGCTTCTGTTTTACCTTCGCATTAAAATCCTGTTTCATCAGCTGCTTAAGTAGGGGTTATCTCTCCAGAGTTCAGTGCTTATAGAATTCAGCTGCTGTCTGGGTGAACTTCTCAGAAATGCCATGTTTGTCTTTTAAATCAGAGGGCTCCAGAAAGGGGTGGTTAAGGCATGGGGTTGTGTGATAAAGTGCTTTATCACAATGTGGACATTTCTAACCAGAGGAGTTGTGCTTCTATGTAAGGCAGCAAAAGCTCAGAGAAAGGGAATAAGGATAAGTTAATCTTCAGAGATCTTCTTTATGCCTTTCTTCCATGTCGCTGCAGTGCTTCACCTAGCCTTGCAGTAGCACTGTCACTGAAAATCTGGGAATAAAACCTCTTAAGACCAATGTAGTGTTAGAAGGCAGGCGTTCTTTATTGCAGCACTGGATGCATGGGGGATAATTCCACCAAACGTGCATAGCTCATACCTTTTCCATGTGGTTTATATAGATAAAAATATACATATTTATTTTATTTATGCATATTCATTATTATTATTATTCTCTTTGGTGATTGGTGCAAATTTTCTCGCTTCACATGTATATTAGTGCACAGACTCAGTCATCCTCTGCTATTGCTCCTTTCTGAGCAGGGGGTCAGTGGTCGTGCTCTCCCCCTGCCGCACTGCCCTTTTACCTGCTCAGCTCACACTCGTGGCAGTCCCGGGCAGTTTTCTCAGTTCGCTACACAAAGTCACGCTCCATCATTCTCTTTTGACAGAAACACCTTGTCTGTTGTTTTGTTCACATTAATTATTGCCTACATCTATCCCAAATGACTTCGTATACTCAATATTCCCAGACCTAATGTCCAGCTGGATAGGGCTGTACAAGGAATATAGCAGCATTGGTCAGTGCTGTGGTTAGCTGATTCCATCACCCTCGGTACAGCACTGCTGAAGGAGGAGGGTGGAACATGCCTCAGCTAAGACCTCACAGGCCCCAGCGCGTAGCACTTGAAGGGAATTTCTGACAGGGAAGGTGCTGCAGTTACTGCTGGCATCAGCTCACCAGCGAGAAGCTAGCGACGCATCATGGCTTGCACTGAGCACCCTCAGACCTATCCCATTCCCAGCCGACAGGGACCACCTTTTCCTCAAGCTTTGCTGGTCTTCCCGTGTTAGATGTAAACCAGTATCTGTCATCATAGCTTCAAAATATCTCTATGTGATTATTTTATTGCAATCTCCTAAAGTGCAGGTACTTTTTTATTGCTGTAGCAATAAAAAATAAGTTAAGCATTTTTGTACAACCCGGGACACTGTCCTCTATTGTAATACAAGTTCCATTTGAATGTGCTTTCTCCATGGGCATGGAGCCAGCATTTAAGTGTGACAGCTGCATGGACATGACTGACTTCTTTATAGCAGAGGGAAACATATGCATATAATTATGGCAGTGAGAAATTATTTAACAATAAACTTTCTTACCATTGCAGTTCAGTCTGTGCCCCAGCATATGTGTTAATTGTATATTAACACTGATCTGCTTTGCAATTAAGATGCTTTCTACAAGCTCCTGCTTCACAAATCCTGCTACAGGGCCTCTTGCATATCAATACAGAGAAAAAAAACAGCCTATGGAAAACACCAGCAGCCAGTGCAGTCATTTCATAGCCTCAGCTTTGCCTTTCAATACACAAATCTCTAGCAAGCATCAGTCTTTGCTCATGTTAATTAATTCAAAAAATTAAAAGAACAGTCCCACACTGCATAGCTTGAAGGCAATTCCTTGCATCTGTTCAGCTGCCCTGTGTTGGAACAGGCTATGAGAACGCAATGGTTTGGAAAGGGTGGCTTGTGGTTTGTTTAGCTGGGGCACCCATCCCTTTAAGGAAGAGTACTTGGGGGTTGAATGGCAGGTCACAAAGGGTGAGATTATGGTCCAGTCCATCAATAAAAACTCTGGTGGCAGTCTTAGAAAGCAGCTGTCTGAGGTCATGGATGTCTTTCAGAAGAGTCCTCTCCAGAAGACAGGGCACTGAACGAGCTCAATGAAGGGAACACAGTGCTGTTTTGCTTTGTCATTCTCCTCCTCTTGGGCTTTAGTGGTGCAACTCTGTTTTATCCAGGATGACCACAATGGTGTGATACATTTCTTTAGCCTGTCAAAACACAAATCAGTATCGGTCGCATTCTCTGCCCCCAAAATGGCTGCTTCTCATAATAAAATATTCCCATAAATCACTTTCCATAATTAAATATCAGGTAGGTGCTGGGACAAAGCTGCACTTTGGGGCTGGGAGGCATAGTGCCCCCATCCCCCTCTGGGACAGAAGAGAGCGGTAGCACTGTCTCTCAGCAGCAACGGGCAATTTCTGAACTGCCAGGAGGAAGCTGTGGGTCCAGGCCGATCTCACCTGTGAGAGTTCCAGCCACATCGTCTTGGGGCTGGCAGCTGAGCCATAGTTCAGTTCGATGCCGGGAAGCCCACCATCAGAGACAGGCCGCAGGGTTCGCATCTTCTGCAGCTCTTTCAGTGGAATCACAGAGGAGATCGCCTGTGTAAGGAGAAAAGCCACAAAACTCTCTCTGGTGCAGTCTTTACAAATAAAGCATCTGAGTTTCACCAAGGAGGATTCACCTCAAGAGCTTATGGAAAGCTGGGGCATAAGGCAGTGTGTACAGAACACAGGGCAAGTGCCTGCTGCCAGTGTGGCACTAGAACTCCTGTAAGATTGGGTCAAACAGGAATGTGACCTTCATGTAGTTTTACTGTGGACTATGCTTGTTGGCATGATCACTGGACGTACAGAAGAACACAGTTCTACCACTCTTGTCACTTGCTTTGGGTTAGGGCTGTTATTAGAGTGGCTGTAACACGGGTTAATACAGTCTCTTCCTGCACAAGTTCTTCTACAAGTCAAAGTTAGCATCTGACAGACAGCAGGGCTCTGGACTGTAGAGAAGAATTATCTAGCATACCTGGGTAGTGCCATGCACTGCAATGATTTCTTCTTTATTCACGCCAAAGAAACAGGGCACAGAGATTGTGTTATCGCTGACTCTCTCTACAAAGTAGATGTTGTAGCCAAAGAAAGGAAATTTCATCACGTGCTCTGTAAGAAAGCAAAAGGTGGCTCTCAGGCAGCAGCTTCCAGCCAGCAATCTACTGCATGAACCTAAGGTGGTCAAAAGCTGCAAGTGTTCCCAAGCTTTTCTACATTAAAAAGTAAGATTGACAACGTCTCCCTCCCCACCCCCCGGGTGCTGATCGTATGTCCTATTCTTTTCCAACCAGAAAACAGCCATGAAGTCATAATATCAATTAAAACACAATTTGTACAGAGCTCTGAAAGTCTTTGACAAAAAGACTTCTACAAAAGAAGTGGGACTTTTACCATGATCACCATGCTTGGGACCAGGTACCAGTCTGCAGGGGGAGGCTGTCAGGGAGCTGTATGTCATGACCCATTGCAGGCTCCAAGGATCCTCCCGAACCTCATGAACTGTCCCAAAAGTGCATTCAGAGCAGCTTCCATCATGCCCAGGATAGATGACTGAAGCATATCTGGATGTCTCCTCACCTATGAACTGGATTTTTGCATCCATTGGCTGGAGGGGCTGCCTGGTTCTCAGGAGCATGCCGACATGGTTCTCCAGAGCCTGGAGACTGATGGAGGACTGCAGGGTCTTTGGCGTGTACTCCCTCAGCTCTTCCCTGTACCAACAAGCAGATACTAATTCACCCCCTGCCTGCTAAAATCAAATGATCAACCAGGGGCATTAAGAGGAAGGAGGGGATATGGCAACAATTTTTGATTGCATGGCTGGGGGCAGGGGTGGAGGGAGAGAAGAGCAGCACAACGGGTTGTATCTGAATTGGGTAATGTGGAAGGAAACATCAGAGATGGTGAGACCACCATTTTCCACCCAGAAGGTGGCTGTGCACCACTGGCTAGTGAAATCCCCACTTTCTGGAGACAACAGGAGCTGTACAAGCAAGGACTGTAGCACGGAAGTAGAGCCACAGGGTGTTTCTTTCACAGGCAGTCTCAGCTGAAAAACACCTTCCTCTAACTCTGTCTTGCTCCTGTGCCTCCAAAGCACTACAGAGAGCAGAGTTCCCTGTGTGTTCCCTGTGGGGATTGGACAGAGATGTTAGCTCCACTCTAAGTGCGTAAGGATACATCTTAAAATAGAGCTCAGAGCTGCAGGACAGAAGCTTTCCAGTATCCTGGGACACTTTCATTCCCATTAGACATCTCACTACAGGTTTCACGTGCCCAGGGTTGAAAAGTCTGGCGCTTGTGAAAAAGATCAAAGGAGCATTCATCCCCACTATAAGCTCATGCGCTTCCTTCTTGGTATTACAAACACATGGCAGTCTCAAGAAATGTCCATGGCACCCTCATGACCCTCAGCTCAGGAGGAGTCACAAAAGGAAATGGGGACAGTCAGCGTGAGGAGTGTGAACAGGAGATAAACTTTCTTGGTTACTGGCAGAAGTCAGTCACTAAGTAGGGACATTAATTAGCAGCTTATTTTCTCCAGAACTGTCCATTCTTAGTTATCCAGAGAGTACTTTCAGACACTACCCCTAACCTCTGTGGTGCCAACAGCCATTAGGGACAGAGACCAACCCTGAGACAGCCATACCTGGAGGGAGCAGAGTTCTGCTGCTCAGTTCTGGCCCAGTGCTGGAGCATTGCCAAAATGCCCACCTGCATCTCCGTTTCTTTGCTATGGCTCAGCAGTATCCTCCCATGCAGGTAATCCCACAGCACCTGAGAGACAGCACAGCAGAGAGGCCTTGGTTAAACCTTCCAGCAGGTACAGGCAGGTCTGGGCAGCGCCAGGCTGCAGAGACCCACATCTTGCTTTGCTGATAATACATCCAGCTTGGGCTGATAACACAAAAGCAAAGGCTTTCTGGGCTCGGGAAGAGCACGCAGAACTGCACAAACCGTGTCTGGAACAGTACAACTCATAGGCTAGGGCTACGGCTGCTCTGCCTTCCCTGCAACCATAGATTCATAGAATGGTTTGGGTTGGAAGGGACCTTAAAGATCATGTGGTTCCAACCCCCCCTGCCATGAGCAGGGACATCTTCCCCCAGCCCAGGCTGCTCAGAGCTCCATCCAACCTGGCCTCGAGCACTTCCAGGGAGGGGGCAGCCACAGCTTCTCTGGGCAAGACATTCCCAGAAACAGCATACAAAGTTGATCAGCCAAAGCCCTCCTGCTTCTTCAGCCCCCTTGGGACATTCCCGTTGGCCTGGACAGTAACTCTGCCCCTGCTAGGAAGCCCTTGCTAGGAAGGTTCCTGGTGCGTGCTGCCCTTGTTGCTTACCTGTCCATAATGAACATCAGTATAAATTTTGTTCTCAAAGTGCACAGGTGTCCTCCAGATGAGCCTGCGTAAACTCACAGTGACCAATTTGTCCTCCAGCAGGTAATCGTGAAGATACTCCTCTGATCTTACCGGCCTCACCATGTTATCTACATGTTTATGCAGAGAGAGGGTCATCACTCTTGGTGCTGAGACAGTGGGCTGAGCTCCATGGCCTGGGACAGGAGCCTTCCTGCACATCTCTGTTCCACCCTGCCCTTACGCCTCCCAGCATCAGCCATTCCAAAGGGACATGGACCCACAGACACACACCCCTCTGTCAGGAACAAGCAACACGGCCCCTGAGAAAGCACAATCCTTAACCCTAGTAACAGAGGGAAACTGCTGAAGGGGAACCTCCCCAGAGCCAGCGAGGGCAGGGGAACTATTCAAAATGGTAGCTGTGGTACTCCCTGTTGGAGAAACTGCTTTAAGAAAGAATCTAGATGCTAGTCTCTACTTGCCAAGATGATCGCTGTCACTCCTGATGGCAAAAAGAACAAATTCCTGTATCTCTTCCTGTTCGCCTGCCCCCATCTGCTCACAGATCTCCTGCAAGAGCTCCTTGGCCACCTGAAGCAGGGAAAGAAGCAAATAAATATCATGGCCAGGCAAGCCCGAAGCGGCCCCAGAGCAGCTAGGCATACTGGGCTTGTTAGAGGGCAGCAGTATGGCTCTGCTCATGCAGAGGCAGGCTGGGGGAGGTATCCCACCGTTGTGCAGGCCCTGCAGAGACGCGCTGCTGCAGAGGCTCCAAAGAAATGAATGGGAAACTCTCACAGCACTATGGGAAGCAGAGGCCAAGCCCAAGGTTTTCACAGCTAACGGAGTTCCCTGGCTTGGCTCAGAGTCCAGGTCAATGAAGAAATTCATAGCAGAACACTCACAGTGAATGTCTTGATTCTGGTGAGGTATTCCACGCCTCCAGGCATCAGTACCACCAGCCGGCGGGCACTGCGCCCTTTCTGCAAAGGACAGTCTTTAGGCAGCAGGACATGCAGGAGCCCATCAGCCCATCACTAGTTTCTCCCTCTTCCTCCTCATCTCTGCCTTCCACCGCTTGCCCACAGTACCTGCCTCTTCCCTGCCCATATCCCTGCCTATATGGCTATCCCCACTTCCTACATGGAAGTGCCACAGCATTGCACTTCCCAACCCCCTTACGGACATACACTTCGTTTCCTCTCTCGGAACACTAACCACCCCTGTAACGCTGCATGTGGCACCTCCTGGCAAGCCTCTGCCCTCCTGCTCTTCCCAGCATCCCCACTTCTCTGCCCCTCAATACCAGCAATGCCTCTATCTCCACAGGGAAAGGAAGGTGGCGACGGCCCCCGTACATGAAATTTTTCCGCAGGTTGCTCTGACAGATCTTGGCTATATCTGCAGGAAAAGGAAAAATCTTCATGTGCTGAGCCAAATAGAGGACTAAGCATTGTCTCCTGTAGTGCTGGGTCATCATGGTTGTGTTGAATTCCATCCTGTGATTCTGTTAATTTAACCCAGGGCCACTGCTAGGAGACAAAAGAGCCTTGACCCCAGCTCCCTCTCTCCCAGGACACATCCAAACCATGAAGGGCCAGCCCTAGACAGTGTCCAGGGCAGTAAGAACACACAGAAGTGACAGGATGAGAGAACTGGAACCCTCATCTCTGGCAGGGTTCCAGCTTAAATACCTCACAGCTGAGGACTCTGGAAGACCACAGTCTACCTTTCCCCCAAGGTCTAGCTGTCAAACTGGGCATAAGCCTCAGAGAGGCACACAATTCCACTTTGCCTGGGTGAAGATGCAATGGGAAATCACCTCTGCAAACAGAAAGACTGGAGATACAAAGCAGACTCTTGCCTGCAGGGTTAGGTCCCTCAGTACCCTGCTCCTTTCTCCTGCATAACCGGAAAAGGGAGATTTCCCATAGGACCATGTCCCTGCCTGGATCCTGTCTTCTTTCTTTGGCCACTGGGCTTTAGTAACAAGGGGGCAGCTGTTTATTTTACAGGACACAAACAGTCATACCATGGTGGGTGCTGGATGGATCACTGCTGGCTAGCTGCAGGAACTTGGTGGCATAGGGCATCAGGATGTTAGAAGGGAGGAAGTACCCAGTTAGAAGGTTTAGGAGTAGCCAACCACGCAGCACGCTCTCCCTGCGGGGCAGAAAGAACTGTGGGCACCTTGGAACAAGACAATTCCTCCTCCAAGCAGCTCAAAGTGAGCCTCTGTCCTTCTGAACACCTATGGCAGGTGGCAGAAAATGAGGTGGCAGCCCTTGGTCAGAGGTTTCTTATGCTGAGGAAAGGATTGACGCAGTTATTCTAACGGCAAACAAAGAGAGGGAACAGTTAAGGTCACTCTGATGCCACTGCTGCCATATCACAGCGCGACATGGGGTCAAGCCAGTTCTAACTGTTGTATCAATTCCCCAGGGCTGTGAAGAAGAAACCAGGGCTCTGAGCAGCACCACTACTGGGAGCTACCAGGAACATTTACCAGTGCCCAGATATATCAGCAGCAGCCAGAGATACAGGGACAAAAACATACACTGAGATGAAAAAGCCAAACCCAGGGACTGGCTAAATTTCCCGAGCGCTCAGGAAACGCCCCAGCAGCTGAGCAGTACCTCATCGGGGGCAGCCCCTCTCCTGGCCCTGCTGGGCACGCAGCAAGGCAGGCGGTTCCCCTCCAGGCACACACAGGAGCTGACAGTGCTGGTACTCACTGGTTAGGGTTGTGGGTGACCTGTTTGATGACCTGGCAGTAGACCTCATCATGCAAACTCTCCTTCTCCATGCATAGCTGCGTTCAGACAGGAGAAGACAGTGTCAGAGAGGGGACGAGGTCATCAGAGAGGCCTCAGGTTGTCCCTGTGCCCTTCCTCTCCCAGCTCTGGAGCTCTGCCAACGTGGCTTAAACTTGGACTTTGCGACCTCTGGTTTCTAGTGCTATGTAGGCCCAAAGAAGGAGAGGGAGGTTGTGCTCTCATCCACCCAGACAGTGATGTCCAGGGAAACTCTTTACATGCAACCCCTCCCCACCATGTTTTTTAATCAGCCTCTCTGTTTCTTCTTCTTTTCTCATGTAGGAAGTTGCATTACAGCCTTCCCTGCTCTCCCTTCCCAGCAAGGTCTTGGCCCTTGATTCCCACTGGTGCTTCAGCACCTTGCCCGGGGGAAAGTCACAGACCTGAAGGATTTCATAGATGCATTCAACCTCATTCTGGTTCTTGAGTTTTGGTTGATCTCCCATGAACCGCATCAGAGCTGCAAAGCGAAGGCCAGCGTTTAGGTCTAAGCAGAGGTGATCCTGCCATGGGGCGGGCAGTAGACCAGGAAATGTCCTGAAAGCTTTTCTGCTCCACAGGTTATTATGAGGCTTGCATTGGACATGTGGGGCATCAGCCCAGGCAGTGAGTGTTCTTGGACACTTCGCACTTGAGGCAAAGTGCATTTTGCTGGGTGCTTTCAGCAGGGACACAGGTGGTTATTAACTACAGAAATGCCTTAGGAGGGGCTCTTCTCTCATGGTTTTCATTCCCTGCTCTGGGCCCTATGATGCCTACACGTGGCCACCAAGACTGTCCCACTCACCCCTGCTCCAGCCTCTGCAGTGTTGTGTCCTAGGGAGGTACTTACTCTTGAAGTTCTTTGTAGCAAGCTCATTCAGCTCACTGTCAGAGTACTGGAGCAAAGACTCCTGGATTGGGACCTGCAGGGCCAGAATACAAGGGTGAGCTGGGGTGGCAGACTGCACAGAGCTGTGCTGCAGACTTCACGAAAGACACAAGTTCCCAGTATCTTGCAGGCAGCACTGAAGAGCAGGGGGCACCTACACTCCTGCGGGGACTGCAGCCAAGGATCTGCTCTCTGCGCTTTTGTCGTATGGGAACAAAGCTAGAGGCAATGCTGGAGATGCGATTCTGCCTGTAGGCATGGGGAGAGGCTGGGCTCACCTTGGTGTGCTGGACCAGGCCAGCTGCACTCTTTTCAGCAGACATCCCCTTCAGTCCCTGCCTGGACAGAGGAGAGAGAACATCCAGTCTAAGAAATATCCCCAGAAATGACTTGGTGTGGGTCAGGCCACACCAGTCCTGGGTATGCCTGTTCAGGAAGGACCACAGCCTACTCACATGGACTGAGCCTCTCGGAAGTAGGCTGTGGCGAAGTCCATCATGGTATAATGATCACCAACAGGGACTAACATGATGCTGTTGGGTTCTGATGTCAGGCTTGGAACAGAACTCTGCAGGAATAAGCACCAAACCCACTCTGAAAAGTCAGCTGAGAAACTGCAGTGTATGTTCTCCTCATCTGCCAGACTTGAGAAGGCCTCATCTGTGTGCAGTGCCTCCCCCTCCCACTCTGATAGTATTCGAGTGTCTCCATCTGCAAGGATTAAGCAGTCATCTTCTTCCCTCTAACCTTGGAGGTCAGACACTGCCAGGGCCACGGACCCACCCTGGCAGCTCCCACAGAACCCAGCCATGTCCCCAGTTCCCCAAGCAGTTACCCAAGGACAACTCACCTCCATTCTGGTGTTCCTGCTCTCTGCTTTCATGCTCTTCCGCAGCCCTCCACGTCTGTCCATGCTAGTGCTGAGGTAGTCAGGGGCTGCAGCCAATTGCACTAGGCTGGTGGGGAAAATACCACAGCGGCCACCAGTGGAGCCAAACTGCCAGCCTGCAGAAACAGGGGAGAACGAGCAGGAACCATGGTAGCTACCAACACAAACACGCAATGAGTCATCCTACTGGCAAAGGAGAGCATCAGACTGATCAGGCTTTCCTGTAACTATGACAGCTGGAACAAGATGGGTCGTGGTCAGAGAATGGCAGAGCTGAAGGTTGACTGTGCCAGCCCTGAACAGTCTGCCTTCCTCTGGTTTACTCGACAGCAGCATGGAGAGCTTCTGGGCACCATGGGTCCAGCAGGCCCTTGAACCCAGTCCCCACCTTTCCTGCCAGTCTCGACAAACTCTCTCACCTGGCTCCACGCCTTGCATGGGCAGTAACTCAATGAGGTCACCCTTCTTGAAGCTAAGGAGGCTCTTGTCATCTGTGATGTAGCTGCGCAGAGCAACAACGTAGTTGGTATCCTGGGGAAAAAGTGATGGGGAGGTCAAATCTCATCCCTAGCATGGGAAGGACTCAGACCATGTCATCCCATGGACCCTCTCTGGTCCATGTGGGAAGCCACCTTCATTCCCTACTGCACTACAGCCGCTCCCTCACCTGCCTCAGCTCCTGGATGAAGAGTTCCACCATGGCCTTGATACATGGAGCCTTCGGAGAGTGCAGGAAGAGCTGCTCTGTCTTCAGAGAGAACTCCAGGGCATTGCTGCCCTTCAGTTCCACTGACAGCACATCTGCAAAGCTGAGAACACAGCCAGCATGCTTAAGCTCCTGCTACCAGAGCTAGGGATGCAGATCATGAGGATGGGAGCTCATTCCAAGGACTGAGACCAGAGACAGGCCTCAGCATGCTCCAGAGGGTGGCCTTTCACCAGCACTGTATTACAACAGTAATAGCACCGAAGGCTGCTCAGGGCTTTCAACGTACCACTGAGGACCTCCTTTCTGATGACACGCATGGAGCTGACTCACACCTAGCACTCACTTACAGTAAGCAAAGCACAAGGTAAGAAGGAAAGAGAAAGACCAAACTCATAAGAAGGAGGGTCAGTGAGTTACAGCTGGCCTAGGATAATCCTAGGGAGCACAGCACAACCTGACAGTTTTCAGCTCACCTGTTCATTCTGCCTCCTGCACTCTGGAAGCATCCCGCAAGTGACAAATCATCATCCTGCAGCAACCAGAGCCCTTTTGCTTACCTGTAGCTGCGAAGAATCTTCAGGTGCTCAGGATTATAGCCAGCTGCTTTCACCACCTTCAGCAGCCGCATGCCCCGGTGAGAAACACCCAGGATCTGCACATCACTTCCACTTTCGCCCTGCGAGGGAAGTGCAGCAGAGAGCGTCAAAGGCTCCATCCCACCTGAAGGGGATGCATCAGAGGAAGAAGATGCTGCCACATGTACCACGAGGCCCTGGGCTGACAGGGACATCAAACCCCGCAACATTTTCACAGAAGCTTAGAAAACAGAGAGAGCAAGTTAAGGAAGACAGAGGAGCAGGACTCAGAGCAGAGAGGCAGATGGGAGAACTATGGAGACAAGGACTCGTGACAGCTGCCAAGCAGGTAGCCTGGGCAAACAGGGAAATGATTAGGGCAGAGCGATGCCAATGTGCAAGTAAGGAGAAAGGTACAGAAGGCTCAGAAGAATGAGTGATGTGTGGCCAGGCAGGGAGAGACAGCCAGGACAGAACGAGATCCCAGGTGAACTAGAGCCACACAGCTAAAGCAAGCCCAGGGTCTGGTGAGAAGATTAAGACTCACATGAACTGGAAAGAGCCGGGAAAAATAGTTAGCCCAGTTATCCCGAGCAGCCAGGACAATCCTCTTCTTTATCCCATCCTCCTGAATGGACTGAACATCGTTGCCAACCCGGAGCTCGACTAGCAGGGACACAAAGCAGATACTTTCTCAGTAAGACAAAGATGGCCAAGTCTCCCTCTGCCCAGGGGCTCATGCCCACCAGTCCCCCTCAGCGATTACAGAGCAGCAAATGGCATGCACAGGTGAAAAGATACCACATTACTTGTACACATCGGTCTACTACTAGTTTCTCTCCCTACCTCCATGAAGCTCCTGTCAAAGAAGACAGCTGTATTTTGAGACAATTCAAAATCCCGTCCTTGGACCTCAGTTTTTTCTCCCCACAATAAACAGAACTAAGTTTTTCTGGCTCAGAGAAATTTCAGGTCCATTTTCTGGCCGTTTGGAGCATTCCTACACTGCACTACACAGCATACACAAATGTGCTTTCTTGCCATAGTGACAAACATTTCTCCTTTGCCTTGAGTCCTGCCTGAACTGGTTTGGAGGCCTGTTTCTCCTTTGAAACCAAAAGCTGGGATGGCAACAGGAAGGAAGGAATGCTGGGGCTGTTAATTACTCAGCAGGTCTTTCATCTTGCGCTTCTCCTCCCTAGAGATCCGAAGGCAGGAATCGGAGAAGGTGTCACGCATGATCTGCAGGGGAAGGAAAAAGAGAGACTTCCATGGAAAAGGCGACAGCGGAGTGTGCTGGAGGCACATTAAACAGACTGTTTCTGAGAGGAGTGAACAGGGGCTTGACTGGATGGACCTCGAGAAGGGACTAACACCTAGGGATGCAGAAGTGAAGGCAACTTATGTGATGTAATTATGGAGCAGTTTTTCCCCAAACAGAGAGATAACAGGCCTTGAGTCATACACTGGTACATACCTGTTCACACAGCAAATTCAGACAATAAGGGTGACTGAAGTTTTCTTTGGGGTAAAACACCTGCAAAAAGAGGATAAAACCAATAGTGGTGTTACAGATGTTTACAGGTGTTGCAGAAATAGCTCCCCAGGCATGTTTTGTAATCCATACGCCCTACTGCCACAGAGGAGTGAGTCCGTGTCCAAGGGCTCCCCAGTTCAAGAAAGATGAGGAGCTACTGTAGAGAGTCCAGCGGAGGGCTACAAGGATGGTGAGGGGACTGGAGCATCCCCCCTACGAGGAGAGGTTGAGGGAACTGGGCTTGTTCAGCCTGAAGAAGAGAAGGCTGCGAGGGGACCTTATAAATGCCTACAAATATCTGCAGGGTGGGTGTCAGGAGGATGGGGCCAAGCTCTTTTC